CTCATGCGTGCAAATTATACAGGATGCTTGAGTAGCATAATTATCTTAAGTACAAGATTTTAGATGAAAGAATCACAATTATCAGTTAGAAAAATTGAAATATTCATTATAATAAAAATTATATGCCTTTTCTACGCAATTTATAATTCAGAAGGGGTGAAATTTATATTAGTGATATACAGTTAGGACATTCAACATGCAAAAGATAGAACATGAAAATAAATACACCCACAACTGAAGTAATTCATGTCAGCAGAATTAATAGTCAGCTACATAATTTTTTTGAATGGTACCTGGCTGAAGCAAGTTACAGAATGTAAATATATAGGAAGTATATTCTCAGAGGATGGAAGAATAGATCAAGAAATAGAAACAAGATGCCAATGAGCCAGTGCACTTATATACCAACTGACACCGTTATTAAGACAGCCAAACATAAGTATGAGCGCAAAGAAACATTATAAACATTCATACCAACACCGTGCTATCAGTGCCAGACTTGGATATTATCAAAGACTAACCTACATAAAATAAACACCTGTGAAATGAGATGTCTGAGAAAAGCCGCCAACTTAACCATCCGAGACAGAGTTAGAAATGATATTATCATACATACGGTAGGAACAACACATTCATTGAGAAACAAAAGATCAAATGGTTTGGTCATGTAGTCAGAATACAGTCAGAACTACTAACTACCAATGCAGGTGCTACACATGAAAGGATCTGAAATGAGAGCAAGAGGCCGTCCTAGGAGTTAATAGATTGATGATATTAAAGATCTTCTACATCGACACGAAAAGACAGAAGCCATTGCTGCTCATCAAACAATGGATCGCAAACTGTTCCTCTCCACAACGCTCAACAGCAGAAGTGGAAACTGATGATGATATTGGCAGTGAGTAAATTTAGGGCATTTTTATTTTTATTTTTCCTGCACAGAAATTTGCTTTTTACAATTGATAAATCGTATTTAGCAAATCGTGTATAATGATCTATTGTATATAAATCCGCGTTACTGTATTTGAAACTAGTATATTCTCAATTTTAAATTGACCTCAACGTTACAACTGCAGTAGCTCCTGGCCAATATTCTTCACTCCAACGGTTTATACCCGTCAACCCAGAATGCGATATCTTAAAAGAAGGTATTTGTCCTATACCTTTATTGCTATTTATTAAAAATAGACGCAGACAAAAACTTTAAAATATGCTGTTATACATCAATGCATTTAGCTGGGTTTTAACCCTGTGACAGGAGAAAATATAGCGTAAGAATTATGCATGGGGAAAAATGTGTTGTGGAGAGCAACAAGATGGCGTGGAGGCTACAGAAAGCGCAGACGTGAAGTTTCGGCTTCTCGTTGGTCGCGGGCCCGCGGACCGGCAATTATAACTTGTAGTTTGTAACTTGTACAGCTGAGTAACGCTTGCCCTGTGAGATCTGTTTCTGCGAACACGATGTCTGCAAGAATTTTGTGTAATTGTAGCTACAACACATTCTCGCTTTAATATTAGTACTAAAGAAACTAGTATTTTATGTCATCGTTTTGAAGACCGCTGCTTGCAGCAGACGATCGTTCGTACAGTAAAAGTAAAAATAATTCTAGTAGTACTATCAGAGTATAAACTATGGATAATTATGCCTCCTTCTCCGAACAATAATATTACAGTCAATGTCACACTTGATGGAAGCTGTAGATAGCAGATTCCTCGCATTGTTGACACTTTAGTCAGAACACTGATTGATGAATTTAATAAAAACAGATGAAGGTGATGCTATAGAGTTTTCACAGATGGATCAGTAATTCGGGGCAAGCGAAGTCAGGTGCATTTACATAAAGCTCAAGAGGGAAAACCGTTAAGGAGATGACTGACGCCTTTGCTGTTAGAACTAGTACCCTTACAATGGATACTATGGCTGTAACACGGGCATTAGCACGGCTTGGTACTCAAAAACCACACACATATGCATTCTTAGTAACTCGATGAATATGCTTAAACAATTTCAAGCTGGATTTATCAAGCAAGAATGGACTGAAACACTAAGCACTTCGAGAATATCTGCCCTAACTTTCATCTTTGTGCCAGGTTATGCAGGTGTTCAAGGGAACAAGTGTGTAGACTATCTTGCTGACACTGCCGTTACTATGGCTAGTCCAGTACTGGACAGAAGTGATATCATCAATGTCATTCGCTGCACTGACCGTACTGAGGAGCATGCCAAAGGACATGACTTCGTATACCTAGACTGATGGACATGGGGGTGCAGCCTGGAGCTGCAAGAAATGAACATTTCACTAAGGAGACAAGGCGTTTCATTAACCAACACAGAACAGGCGGCATCAGTCATTTTACACTTGTGGAGCTTTTGAGGAGATCGGAGCACCTATGGATCTGTCCATAGTTCTGTGATGATAATCCTTTCTAATCACTAATAACTATGCCCTGCAACATCTGCTAAAGTCAAAGTGTCTGTCTCTCAACACCAAGATCAAAATATATAAAACGTTGATAAGACCAGTCATTTTATATGGCTCTGAAACTTGGAGCATAACTAAAAGAGGTGAAGCCTTATCCTTATTACAGGTTTTTGAAAACAGTCTACTCTTACGAGAAATCTTTGGACCCATCAAAGATGCAAAAAGCAGAGAATGGAAAGTGAGAAGCAACAACGAAATTCATAATCTGTTTAAATCACCTTTGATCACTGGCATCATGAGAGCTAATAGACTGAAATGGTTAGGACATATTGAAAGAATGACAGGGAAGTAAAAACTTAATGCACAAGGAAGATTAATGGTTGTAGACCACGAGGCAGACCAAGAAGACGATGGAGAGATAATGAGTGGAGGCGGGTGATATCTGCAGCAGTAAACCTCAAGGGCTCAGAATGCTGAAGAAGAAGAAGTATCAGAGTGTAGAGTGATTTATTTATTTGATACATTTATTGATTGTATTTACAATCACTGAAGATGGGGAAATAGATAAAGCAATCAACTTCAGATGCAGTAAACCAAACCAAGTATTGAAACAGCTAGTCCTCCCTCCAGCCCAAAACTCTTGCAGCTCAAGACAGTCCCAATCAGCACAGAGAATCATCACATGCAAAGTATATTCATTCCCACACTCAGCTACCAGTGCCAGACATAATTACTTGTGACATACCATAAAAGAAAATTAGTAACCACAGAAATAAGATGACTGAGAAGGACTGCAGGAGTGATTAGAAGAAATAAAATCAGAAACAAGGTCACAAGTTAAAAAGTTGGCACCGAACCACCTCTAAATAACATACAAAGACAGCAGGCCATAACCAAATGGTTTGCCCACTTATACTGCCTTATAATGCCACACCGTACAAGGCATATACCAAAAGAATGTTGAATTAAGAATCAACATCACAGCACTCAAGGCACTTCCATAAATGCTCAGTCTCCATATTCATGTGCAAGCGAAGAGTTCAAATTTCGATAGCACCAGTAACCGTCTGATTGTATATCCATCTAATCCTTTCCCTGAGAGTTGAGTGTTGGCCAGATCCCCTGGTAACTCCTCGCAGCGCCATTCTCCTTAGACTGTAATGATCTGCCTGCGCCTCCCCACTGTTCACTCGCTCCCAAAGGGCCCTCACAATATCTAACTTGTCATACATCAATTCACCACCAAGTGGTGCAGAGCCAGCCAGTCTGTGTGAAAGCTCATTTCCCGACACATCGGCAAAGGATGCTAACTACCCGGTACCTCTGAAGTGATGCTTGCCACTCTGCACTAAGCATGCCTGTTTTCACCTTTCTCAACATCTTTGTGAGTCAGTTACAATCACGGCATGTGTGTACAGCTGATTCTCAAGCCTTGACACTCCATTCTAAAACTAGACGTTGTGATATCATATGCAATGCTTTGTCTTTGCTATGAAGCCCCATGCACTTCATCTGCCCCTCAACACAGAGCCATCTGTATAGATAATCACATCACTTGGGCGGTAATTGTCATGAATCATTTGTTGAACTTCTGATTCTGCAGCACCAGCTGGCCAGTCTCTGCACTCACGACCTAAGGTGATAAGAACTCTGTACAAGTCTGAAACTTGATCGGACACCTTGACCCACTCCTCTCCTCGCTCAAAGTTATTAAGCCTGCACACATGTCTGATTGTGTCTTTAGCTTACGCCATCCAAGACCTTGCTCTTTTCAGTCTGTGACCCTTAGCTCTACCCAGGGCTTCATACAGGAGGTTCTTCTTGTCTGTAGCTACTCTGAGATATGACGTTGCCTGCAGAACTTTGAGCCTATCTGCAATAGTGCAAGTATATATCGCATACATACTACCGGGGTATCTCTTGTGCATGCCAGAATTACCTGCATGGCTTCAGTCTGTTTGCGTTAGAGTTTTATCAGCTGATCCTTTGATATGGTAAGCATATCACCAAAGGAGGAGAGGGATATAGAACAAAAGGGAACGATAACATCAGATAAACTCTACAACAGCATGATGTGTCTGTGCTCGTATGGTCGAGGTGAAGAGCAAGAAGCTGAACCTTATTTCTCCCTAAACACCAGTATTGGTAAAAGAGGATGTGAAGAAGATGGTGTTTACCATTATTGTTGATCATAATAGCAGGTTACAATACCAGTTCTTCTCACACTTCTGGATGCCAACCTGTGTGCTCAGTGCAGAGATAGCACTTAATGATGCCTTGCTATTTTAATGAACACTAAGGCCTTCTGTATTCACTCTTGGTTTTGTAGTTTACAGCTTGGCTACAGTATCTATCTGCACCTTTCAGCCAAACCATTTAGTCATCTTTTATGACATGCTTGTTAAGAGGCAGTGGATCTGTCCTTTCCTTACCCCCAATAAGACCCCTCAACCCATAACAGAAAACATTGAAACTATATTTACCATCCCCAGCTAAGTACCTCAGACAACCACAGACTTGTGTTTACATTGCATCCCTGTTGTTGACAACTAAAAGAAAAATCTGGAAGGCATCATGATGGATCAAGTGAGCATCAAGATGGAAGATTTCATGGATGTGGTGTACAGGTGTAAATTTTGCCCCTACAGCTGCACACAGTCCCCTGACATGGGAGTCCATGTTAGAGACATTCACTTGTCTTCAGGCTCCCTGTCACAGCAGGGTAGCCCTTCCTTGATGAAAGGTGATGTTGGTAAGTGTTGCTGTCAAGTCTCTTTCTCTCTGTTGTTTGTAGCTCAGTCGTCCCCCTCTCTCTCTCTCTCTCTCTCTCTCTCTCTCTCTCTCTCTCTCTCTGTCTCCCTCTCCTCTCTCTCTCTCTCTCTCTCTCTCTCTCTCTCTCTCTCTCTCTCTCTCTCTCTCCATCTTTATTGTCAGCAGTTCAGTTCAGTTAGGTCTCTCTCATGCCAGTAGTTAGTCACCTCTCTCTCCCCTTCCTCTCTCTGTGTGGTTGCATGTGTGTCTACGAGTAGGTTTATGTCTTTGAGTGTGTGACTGTATATATATATATATATATATATATATATATATATATATATATATATATATATATATATATATATATATATATATATATATATATATATATATATATAAATGTTGATGTGTGTGTGTGTATGATTGTACAAAGTCCGACAATTAAGTAATGAGACTGATTTTATCATGGCCAAGACAAAAATGCCATCTATGAAGCAAAGAGTCTATCCTCTCGACTTTAACCTTTTAGTGTCATTCTAGGCAGTGGGGTAGCTAGCTCCCTTGCTTATCACCTTGCTTTCCCAGACAGATCCTAGAATACTGTGGAAATTACCTGAACCGTAATTACAGCAATGTCTTTTATTTGTTCATTGTTGAAGACTAAACACTGCATCATGTTTGTTGATTGCAATTGATTCGGTAATATGCTGATGTATATATATATTTTTTCAAATTACCTGGTACCCATTTTTATAAGACTGGGCCAGCCTCAGAATCCTCATCTTTTTCTTCTTCTTCTTCTTCCCCCAGTGGAGCATAGGCCCTCATTAAACTCACGCCAAGTTGTTCTATCCTTTGCTATCCTATACATGCCATGTGTACATGTGGATTAGCACCTGAGACAATAGATCACATCCCTTAAAACTGTAACACATAATATATATTAAGGCAAAACCAAAAGGAAAACTGGTGCAAGTTAAACTTTTAGGGTCGCTGATAGAATTACAACAGGCAGTGAAGTTCATACTAGAGTCAACATTGCAGATATAGATAATCTGTTTCAAGTGAACAAAACAATAAGAAGATAAAGATATCCCACACATGTCACCCTAACCTCCCTGTTTCTTTTTTATTTATTTTTTTATTTAAAAATTGTTTGCTTTACTTTCTGGACTTATATACCAACAATTTACTGTAAACTGTTTTCTGTGACACCAGCATCTGACTCCAGTTTGGCACTGGCCTTAGATGTTGCAGTCTCTGAAGCTGTTGGGAAAATTGCTGCAGCAGCTGCTACTGGCACCTCAGTGAGTTCCTCAACCATCAGCAGCTTGGTGGACCCAGGACCTGGCCGCAGCAACACCAACTTTCATCATCTTCATGAGTCTGAAGAAGTTTTAGGCTTTACATCTGATGCTCATGCTTTTCTGGATAAAGGTGAAATTACTTGATGTTATGTAGAACTTGTGTTCTATAAAAAAAATGTGATTTTGTTTCCTCTTGTAGAGTAAGGTTCCTGTTTGCTTAGAAATATAATTCTTTAGAGCTGCTAGCTGAGCAGTTTGAATTCTCGGCTGTAATTTGGGTGACCTGAGTTTGAATCCTTGGTGATTGGGGGAGGGGAGAAAATGCTGTCAAGTGCCATTATCTTTTAACCTGTCAAGAGTGTTAAACATTTGACATCACAGTGCAGACAAACATAATGACATCATTTATAACTGTTTAAAGATGGAGGCCTCACTATTGGCACCAAAGAGAGCAGCATTCTGCTCTGTTATTGGTGTGCAGTATTTTTTTTTTTGGGGGGGGGGGGGGGGGGGTCAGTAAAGGAGTGAAACCTATAGAAATGCATCAGTAAATAAAGATCCACCACTATGGTGATCCATGCCTGTTAGTCCAACCAGTGTATGAGTGGAGTAGAAAATGGCTGCAGTCGACCCTGGGGGTCACTACTCAGTGTGCTTGACCCTGACCTGATCATAGAGTCTGTCACAGAGGTCACACCATTTGGAAACATTTTACTTTGGTCATACTATTGCAGCACTGACAAGCATGCATCAATAATTTACAACAACAAAAATAAAATTTAAATTTAAAAAAGGGTAAATAGAACGCTGCTTTTCTTAGGTGCATGCCAAAAATTGAGCGGCCATCTAAATTGTCATTAAAAAGTCCCTCTTGAAAATAAAATTCAGGTGTTAAATGGATCTTTTACTTTCCCTGCTATTTGTGAGATGACAGGTTAGTTAGTTGCGTATCCTTTTACAGGACGTTGCAGAACCAACCCCAACGGCCCCTGGCTGTTGTGTGGTTTTTCTAGGCAAATTTACGTCCAGTAGTTTGCCATTGCTTTCTGGACGGTCGGCTTTCTTGATACCACTGTCGAAACCAACGCAAGGCGCATGGCCCGCAGCTGGGATCGAACCTGGCATCCCGGCATTACGAAGTGTTCGCATCGACTTAGCCACAGAGTCGACTGTGAGATGACAGACAACTGAAAATACTTTCCATGAGACAGTGACTGTTGTACATTGAAAAATTAGTTGATGAAGTATTTGCTCTTATGTGCAGCTGTAGACGTTAGCCATAATTTTTCAGTCCTTGATTTCAGTGTTAAGCGGTTTATTTAAAAAAAAAACCACTATGGGAGATTCGGACAGTGGTACAAGACTCACACCATGGAAGAGATTGACATATAATATTCCCAAAGACAACTGTGGGTGCTTTGCATTTGTAGCCAACCTTCATTGCGGAGATGGCTCAATGTTTTAATAAAAAGTTCACATCTAATTTGTGTATTTGCTAAAAGTTGTAAGTCTTTTCTAAGAGTTGTTAGTATTTGCTAAGAGTTGTTAGTATTTACTGAGTTGTTAGTATTTGCTAAAAGTTGTTAGTATTTGCTATGAGTTGTTGGTAATTGCTAAGAGTTTTTAGTATTTACATACAATTTTTCATAAGTCATAAGAGATCAAATCCTGTCCATTTCAGTATCTTTTACTCCAATGAGCATTCCATCCACCCAGACCGGGCCCATGACACTAAGTAACACATCAACTCCTGATCTGACAGAGCTGATCAACTTGGTCAAGCCATCAGAGAACAACTGCGGCAGCAGCAGCAGCATTCGCCAGAGCAGCAGCAACAGTTTGTTTACCAATGCCAGCGGTCATCTATCGGGCATAGATTCCTGTCATTTTGTCACTACCAGCAGTGGTCATCTGCCGGTCAATGATAGCCATCTGTCCTCAGGTGAGAGCCAGCTGGGCATGGCCTCCGTTGTGCAGCTGCAGCAGCCAGGAGGAGCTGCACCGTTGTCTTCTTCAGTTACACAGCCATTTACCAGTGCCACTGTTGTGTCTGGAGACCTTGATGGGCTGGGCGTCTCACAGCCTTACACAGTCATGGCAATACACTTGCCGCATCTAGGTGAGGAGATAGAGAACAGTTTGAAAATAAAACTGTAAAGTACTCATGTTTTCCCTGTCTCATTAACCTCAGCCTTTAACCCTTTCAACTCAGGTAATGTTTAAAAAAATGCTTGTGACCCCGTTGAGCTTAAGTTTAAAAATAAAGCAATTATTTTACACAGATGACTAATAAATTTTGTTACAAATGTATTTATCTACATTTTTTTCTAAAATATATAAAGCTGTTTAAAGGGAGTAGTCTATAAACATGAAGCATTAAATAGATTGCATTCCCTGAGCCTGAAAAAAAAAACATGTTCAGATTGAGTGACCTGTATCATCAAGGCTTATGGGAAAGTGATATCAGCTTGGCTTTAAAAAACGCTATTGTTTTCAAAGTAAACCCCCATGCTATTTTTAGTTAATGCAGTCATATCCTGACCTCCTAAACATTTGCACAGGCCAAAAAAAGAAAAACCAGCCAATAGCATAAACTGGGTCTCATGAACAGGTTTATGTCAGGTCAGAAAACGGACATGTAGAGGGAATTGGGTCCAACGGGAAGTGTCAGTTTTACTCTTTCTCTGCGGGAAAGGATTAATTCTTTTCTCCATGTTTTTTTGGGTCGCCCTTATTCTTTGACCTAGTGGGTTCCAGTGCAAGGACATTCAAGTCATGTCAGGTTTCCTCAGTGTATTGCCTAATCATGGCAAGTGGCACTTGATCACCTCTTGATTCACCATTATAATTAAATAAGTTCTCTTCTCAGTGTAGCTTCCACATTGTTGGGACGTGAAGGATAGAACTCCTGCTCCTCCTCCTCTCCTAACAAGTATTTCATTAAAAGCGACTGATCATGTGTGTTTCCTTTGAAGTTAGTGTGCTTGAGAGGCAAAAAATTAAGTCTGCATTCAAATAAGCCAGATCTGTAAAACAGATATGCACGCAAAACTCAGCTTTCTGTAACAAGGCCAAAGTCCAGAAGTGGAGAACAACCAGAACTTTCCACCGGAGTCTACAGCCGAGGAATGCTAAAAAGTAGTAGTTCTTTTTCTAAATCCCCACTTAATGATTCTGTCATACCATATAATTCCCTGTTCTGAGCAGGAACCAGTTAATAAATGTTTATTACGAGAGGCTGGCCAAGCGGTTGCAATAGCGGGCTCTCGTACAGGTGACCCATGTTCGACACCCGGTAAGGTGATGGAGTTTTTCTGTCATGGGTAAAATTAAACATCCTAACCTGTACAGTCTTTGGCGACAGCACTAGTCGTGGGCCCTAAATCCTCAGCCTCATGCCTAACCCACCCCCTCTCGACACCGCTCTAAAAAAAATAGTACACACAGTCAGTAGTGACAGTGTTTTAAGTCCTGAATATTTAATTAGGTATTTTGGTTTCATTTTTAATTTATGTACAGTCAGTAGTGACAGTGTTTTAAGTCCTGAATATTTAATTAGGTATTTTGGTTTCATTTTTAATTTATGTAAACTCATAGCATACTGTGTTTCAGCTGTGAGCGGGTCGAACACACTTCCACACTATGTTGTGAGCACGCCAGTGTCAGAACCTATCAGTATACCTGAACATACAGAGACAAAGGTAATATTGTTCCTTACTGATTATTGTGTTACTGTATTTGTTCATTCAACTGTACTTATATTGCCTTTGGGAGTAAATTAACATTAAAGCATGAATATATTATTATGGGGTGTAGAAAATTATGCAACAGGGAATGACCGGGGAATATGCCCGTCACTGTATATTGAAAGGAGAGGCCCACTGCTCCTAAACAGGAATGTCATAAAAGGTGTATAATCAAGCATTTGCTGATATTTGATGCTGGGCCAAAACCTAGTTCAGAACACAACATGCCAGCCGTCCTTTCATGGGTCATTGCAGAAAAATCAGATGTATGTTGATACACGATGGTAGAATAGAGTTATAGTCTGTATTGTTTTACTGTAGATCAAACCTGCCAAAGTTGGCCTGGTTATATAAAGGACCCATTTCCATGACATTAGATATATTATTTATATGCCGCTAGCCATATATTTTTCAATGGACCAATCTCCAGACAATGGGAGATGTATAATACTGGCTTCATTTACTTCCCTTAACATCTGCTGAAAATGGTGTAAGTGCAGAGCACATGCTCTGTAGCCTCTGTGACAATTTCTGTGTACATCTAAATTCATAAGCAAAAATAAAATACTGCAGGATGTAATTGGTCGCTCTAGTTTACCTGCTTGCTAGGCAAGAAGCAGGGTATATTGTTTGAATCTTTTCCCCAAGGTGTGCAAGTGTCTTAGGAAGCAGACAGGCAGACATATTTGCTGGTTCTGAAACACTGAATTGATGCTTGACAATCTGGTCGAGACCATTTGGGACATTCTACTCTCAAAGGAAAGGCAAGAAATAAAACAGTAATGTCCTGAGTTCTGCGATGTTGGTTATTAACTCCGTTCAACTCCCAAGCAGGCAAATTTGCTGGTCTCTTCACCACAGCAGCTCCCAGCTTCTGTTACACATTGGTAGAACTTTTCATTACTTGTTGTAAATACTATCATCATCATCATTAGGTACCTTACTGACTGGCGTGGGTGATTCCACAATCTGCGATCTCCTGCAACATGTATAAGTTCGTGTGACGACACACCTCCATGCCTTGCACCAAGACTGTCAAGAATCTTCTCTCGTTGTCTTCCTCTATCCCTCCTTCCACAGAGCTTTCCAGTGGTCACAACAAGTTTTATTTTCTGTCTTTTCATAACATGGCCGAAAAATGATGACTGTCTCCTTCTGATGTCTGTGATAAGTTGTCTTCGGGCTCCTGCCACTTTCAAAACTTCTTGGTTGCTCTTTGGCTGTCCAAGGTATTCTGTAAAACCACATTTCTGAGGCCTCAAGAAATTGTTTGGCCTGCCTACCGATTGTCCTGGATTCACAGCCATATGTTAAAACTGGATGTATTTAGCAAGCAAGAATTCTTTTTCTAACTCTAAGGACAAAGATATATTGCATAAGATGTTCTTCATTTTATAAAATTCAGTTTTTGCCTGTCCTATTATGTTTCTTATCTCAGTAATGCATCTTCCAACTGATGTTATCCATGTGCCCAGATACTTAAATGTATGCACTTGTCACAAAAAACCACCATCAACCTTTATTATACATTAAGGAATAATTCGTTTCTTTGATACCACCATTACTTCTGTCTTCCCATTATTCAAACTGAGGCCCTTTCTTCCACTTTCTAACACCACAATGTCTATCATTTCCTGTAGTTCTTTCTGACTTTTTGCTATCAGGTGTAATCAAGTAGACTATAACTGCTTGTAATCAACAGGAATTTCTGCTGTGTGGATTGTGTAAACTGGCTTTCACCACCATGGAAGAATGCCAGTCCCACATGCAGTCAGAACACAAAGAGTTGATGCAATGCAGTGGGGTTAGCATTGGCGTGCAGGTGAGCAGTTTCATTACGGTTATTTCAATGAGTAAATAATACATGGGCATTACATTATATTAGTATAGAATGTCACAGTGTTGTAGGTTTGTCTCCACCTTGCCGTGGTAGAGGAGCTTGTGTTTCTAAGAGATTCTGGGAGCCATGCTGTCAGAAGCATGGGTGACATCAACCCGGGCAGGTCAGAGGGTAGAGAACAAAGAGATACACTGGTTCTTCAGGTTGGGGTTTGAGAAAGGGGCCAATATCCCTGGTTTTTATAAAACCTCATTTTATCATAAAACATATCTAAGCCTCACAATTGGATGGATTTACATGGATCTGCAATACTTAGTCACCACCTGGAAAGAAAAGACCGGTCACAGAGATGAATGGAGGTAGGGGGATATCTGTTGCAGTGAACCTCAAGTACTTAGAAAACTGTAGAAGCATGTCACACTATTCACTGTCATTGTATCGTTTACTTATTAACCTTGTGACACCATCTATGGCCTAAGGGTTATATGCATGCAGTTTCATAATTCCAGCCTGTCAGGGTTTTAAGCCAGTGGGTGATTTGGTAATCGATCGCTATGTAGATTTTTACCTTTCAGAAAAATAATTGCTGACTACTGAACGTAATGCCTATGTGTTATTGGGGGCTTTAGAGAAAGCAAAGACACAACTAAGGGTTGGGTTGAACTTTGAGTTTCAGCCTCATAGTGTTATAACACTAGCCACAAAAACCAACTCATAGTGTTATAACACTAGCCACAAAAACCAAATCATAGTGTTATAACACTAGCCACAAAAACCAATCAACTTTGACACAGAAAACAGCTAACACAGTTATGAATCAATCCCCTAACATTCATTAACTGGTGTCTGCACAGGACACAGAGAATCACATGGTATATAGTAGAATCATTCACATAGAGCTCTCGGACAGAAAGAAATTGCAAATGAATCAAGAGGGGAAGTAAAGATGCTGGCATTGGATTAGAAACATATTTATAAAACCTGAAAACAGTAAAACCAGTATATCTTTGCACTGGAACCCACAGGGGCTTAGAAGTAAAGGCACAAAAAAAAAAAAAACAGCATGGAGACAGATATTAAAGTATCAAGTTAAAAATATGGGGTGAGCAACACACTAGTGAAAGATAAGTTGACTTGGTGTAAGCTGGTTGAAGGCATGTTTCATTGGAGGATAAATGCCAGAGGAAGACTAAATGTAAAATTGCCTAGTAAAATCACAAACAGCTAACATTTAGTTTTTATTCTTCTTATAATTCTCCGCACTATTTATTCATCTTCTATTGCACCACTTGAGTGCGTCATTTAGAGAAAAAAAAATTAAATTTCTTTGAATTTGTTACAGGCAGGCGGTGCAAAACGGGGCCGCAAACGCAAAGCCGATCAAGTAAAGTTCAAGGAAATAGTATTGGACACTGAAGATATGGAATGGTTGCCAAGTGTGACTGACAACAACAGGACTCCCCATCCAGATGGACGAATGCGCCGTAAAGTTAAACCTCCTCGTGCCCTGAAAGAGGACTTTGTTCTTGGGAAACGTTTAAAGCGACGAATTCGTGAGTCTGGTCTCAACCTGGGTTACAAGATAGCCTGTCCAATGATGAGTTGTAAAGCAAAGTTTAAAACTGAGATGGGTAATTACATTTTTGTATGCATGTATTTTTTTTTGTTTTTGTTATTTAAGTTTTTTCTAAGCTTATCCATGTGGTAGAAAGCAGGGCACGGCCAAAGAGTTTCAGGGTTTGATTCTTGGAAAGGCAATGTTCTATCCTTGGCTCAACGTAACAAGATGCAGTGTGAATAGGTGTGTATTCTAGCCAAATGTGAAGAAAGGGGTACTGTAAATTCCCTCTTTGGTGGAAGAGAAGGGAATAAACAGACTACATTTCTCTTTACTTGCAGTTTGGTCAGTTTTACTCAGTGTTGTTTCAAAAAAGTGTTTAAAGGCGGAAGGATAGACTTTTATGTATTGATGCTGTATAGCTTGATATATCAGAAGTGGCTGTTTGCCCACTTAGAGTGTTTCACAAAGCATAAATCTCCTTAGCTTCAGGAGGTCCCCCTACACACACAAGAGTAAAAGTGCCTGCACTTGTGGGCCAATGAGCAAATTTATAAACCAAAACTACAGTCTTCAAAGCACAAGGAAAATAGTGTAGCCACAGAGAACAAGGAAAATAATGTAGCCACAGAGCACAAGGAAAATAGTGTAGCCACAGAGCACAAGGAAAATAATGTAGCCACAGAGCACAAGGAAAATAATGTAGCCACAGAGAACAAGGAAAATAGTGTAGCCACAGAGCACAAGGAAAATAGTGTAGCCACAGAGCACAAGGAAAATAATGTAGCCACAGAGCACAATGAAAATAATGTAGCCACAGAGCACAAGGAAAATAATGTAGCCACAGAGCACAAGGAAAATAATGTAGCCACAGAGCACAAGGAAAATAGTGTAGCCACAGAGCACAAGGAAAATAGTGTAGCCACAGAGCACAGGGAAAATAATGTAGCCACAGAGTACAAGGAAAATAGTGTAGCCACAGAGCACAAGGAAAATAGTGTAGCCACAGAGAACAAGGAAAATAGTGTAGCCACAGAGCACAAGGAAAATAGTGTAGCCACAGAGAACAAGGAAAATAGTGTAGCCACAGAGCACAAGGAAAATAGTGTACCCACAGAGAACAAGGAAAATAGTGTACCCACAGAGCACATGAAAAATAGTGTAGCCACAGAGAGCAAGGAAAATAGTGTACCCACAGAGAGCAAGGAAAATAGTGTAGCCACAGAGAGCAAGGAAAATAGTGTAGCCACAGAGAGCAAGGAAAATAGTGTAGCCACAGAGAGCAAGGAAAATAGTGTACCCACAGAGAGCAAGGAAAATAGTGTACCCACAGAGAACATGAAAAATAGTGTAGCCACAGAGAGCAAAGAAAATAGTGTAGCCACAGAGCACAAGGAAAATAGTGTACCCACAGAGCACAAAGAAAATAGTGTACCCACAGAGAGCAAGGAAAATAGTGTAGCCACAGAGAGCAAGGAAAATAGTGTAGCCACAGAGAGCAAGGAAAATAGTGTAGCCACAGAGAGCAAGGAAAATAGTGTACCCACAGAGAACAAGGAAAATAGTGTAGCCACAGAGCACAAGGAAAATAGTGTACCCACAGAGAACAAGGAAAATAGTGTACCCACAGAGCACATGAAAAATAGTGTAGCCACAGAGAGCAAGGAAAATAGTGTACCCACAGAGAGCAAGGAAAATAGTGTAGCCACAGAGAGCAAGGAAAATAGTGTAGCCACAGAGAGCAAGGAAAATAGTGTAGCCACAGAGAGCAAGGAAAATAGTGTACCCACAGAGAGCAAGGAAAATAGTGTACCCACAGAGAACATGAAAAATAGTGTAGCCACAGAGAGCAAAGAAAATAGTGTAGCCACAGAGCACAAGGAAAATAGTGTACCCACAGAGCACAAAGAAAATAGTGTACCCACAGAGAGCAAGGAAAATAGTGTAGCCACAGAGAGCAAGGAAAATAGTGTAGCCACAGAGAGCAAGGAAAATAGTGTAGCCACAGAGAGCAAGGAAAATAGTGTACCCACAGAGAGCAAGGAAAATAGTGTACCCACAGAGAACATGAAAAATAGTGTAGCCACAGAGAGCAAAGAAAATAGTGTAGCCACAGAGCACAAGGAAAATAGTGTACCCACAGAGCACAAAGAAAATAGTGTAGCCACAGAGAACAAGGAAAATAGTGTAGCCACAGAGCACAAGGAAAATAGTGTAGCCACAGAGAACAAGGAAAATAGTGTATCCGCAGAGAACAAGGAAAATAGTGTAGCCACAGAGAACAAGGAAAATAGCATAGCCACAGAGTACAAAGAAAATAGAGATGCCACAGAGCACAGTCAAAGGGTTCCCTCATTCCACATGTCATCACCTAGAATATGCTACAGACTAGCACTCCACACCCTAACTGAAATATTTGCTATAGAAAGGTCTTTACCTGTTATATTTTAAATCTTTTTCCTCTTCTTGGCGTTCGGTTTCATATGTTCAGGTTAGACTGTAAAGTGGGCCGCCTGTATAAACTTACAAGTCTTTCATGGTTCCCTACAGCTTGCTCTGCACTTTGCTCTTGCAACCATGTTTCTCTTCATAGTTGTTTGTATAGTGGGCAGGCCTGTAGAAAGTGCTTTGTGTTTGTGGCCCTGTCTGACATGCAGACTGTATGGTGGGCAGGCCTGCAGAATGTGCTCATGTGTTTGTGGCCCTGTCTGACATGCAGACTGTATGGTGGGCAGGCCTGCAGAATATGCTCATGTGTTTGTGGCTCTGTCTGACATGCAGACTGTATGGACATTTTCTATTTTATGCATATGATAGTTGAGCCTGTGGTATCCTGTTCTTAGATGGAAAATGTATATTTTAGATAAAGATGCGTAGGAGTGAAATGGATCTGAATTTCAAATTAAATATGCAGGGCGTAGATATTTTTAACTTCTTCTTCTTCTTCGCGTTCACCGACTGTAAACTCCGGCGGAGTGTTTTGGTTGTTCGTCCACTTCTAAACCTGAGCATTGCATGCGCATTCGTTTAACAGATTTGACTAATTTATATGCAGACTGTTGGTTTCTTGCCTCTCAGGCAGACACACTCCGCTTTCGAAGACAGCTCCCAATTAGTCGACTCTTACAACATTCTTTTGGGTAGGCAATTCTTTGGGTCTATTCTTGTTTTCCTCAAAACAGGGTCCCGGAACCCACATTTAAAGAGATAAGCAAACAGAGCACTGCTATTCTGATTTAGCATCTTCTACATACTCCATGCTTTGCTCCATACACAATGGTTGTTACCTTTCATTTTAAATAAACAAGGCACGACAAGGGACGGGTGATGCTGCATGGGCAGGACAAGGGACGGGTGATGCTGCATGGGCAGAACAAGGGGCGGGTGATGCTGCATGGGCAGGACAAGGGACGGGTGATGCTGCATGGGCAGGACAAGGGACGGGTGATGCAGCATGGGCAGGACAAGGGACGGGTGATGCTGCATGGGCAGGACAAGGGACGGGTGATGCTGCATGGGCAGGACAAGGTACGGGTGATGCTGCATGGGCATGACAAGGGATGGGTGATGCTGCATGGGCAACAAATGGTCGGTGCAATACTGCCTAGGCTTTCTGCTATGAAAAGGAGGAACTTCTGTCCCTGAATTAGTATCAGCAAGGCAGGCCGAAGGATAGATCACCACATGGTCTCTACATCTACAGTACTGCACAGACCTTCTGCTATGGAGAGCAGGAACTTTATCCCTGGCCTGAATTGGTATGACCATGGGCTGTGACCCCCTATTCCTCTTAAGACTTTTCATAATATGAGCCATTGCCATGGACTGTGATACCCAATCCTTCCTGTCGCACTTTATAACACTGTCTAGTAAAATGGTAAGTTGCCAGAACTAAAATTTAAAGAGCTACTTCATAATAATAGCCACAATGAAGGCTCTCTGGGATTAGTTGAACAATGCAACAGAACAGAGTAATCAGAGACTGATTCAGCTGGGAGTGAGCAGAGGGTGTAGACCAGGGCTAACAGCTAGATTCACTCAGGGGCCAACCTGTTGAAAATGTGGATTGTCTCAGGTCAGAGGCCTGAGCCCCAGTGTATAGAAAGATCTTTAATGTAATTCAAATGGCAGTGATCCCCAGGCTGCTTGCTCAGTCTCTGTGGACCAGATTCAAGTATCTGGCCGCCAGTTGTAAAGCACTGGTCTAGACCTATTTTTCAAGAGTGGAAAAGATTTCACACTTTTAGTCAGGAAACAAAGGGCACCATCAGTATGGAAACTCTTTACTGACTACTAAGTGAGGAGACGGAGCATGTGTGGAAACATCCCAAGTGCAGTAATGTCCTTTCTCCATTCATTCATACACTTTAAGATTGTCTCTTAAATCTAGCGTTACTTTGAACTAGGTGTAGAAATTAGGGAAAGAGGAATAGAGTTTTCTGCTTCTCTTCTATCCAGGTTTACATACCCACATGTCTTGCCACAATCTGGATGACACCGCATTTACTTGCAAGGAGTGCCAAGCCCCACATGAATTTTGGAAGCAGCTGCGCATGCACCTGTGGAGGGATCATAGGGTAGGGTGAATGCAGTGAAACTTCAGTTTATATCTTGATCTTTGCATTAAATTCAGTTAGACATCATGACCAACTGCTGCTTTAACAATAGAATTGAATGGGGGTAGACCGTAAGGCAGACCAAGAAAATTGTGAATGGATAGTATACATATTATTTCAAGTCCCTACCCAGTCAGAAGAGGAGCTAGTAGTTAAGAATGCTTGGTTCTTATATGGAAGATTATACATATGTATTTCAAGTCCCTACCCAGTCAGAAGAGGAGCTAGTAGTTAAGAATGCTTGGGTCTTATATGGAAGATTATACATATGTATTTCAAGTCCCTACCCAGTCAGAAGAGGAGCTAGTAGTTAAGAATGCTTGGTTCTTATATGGAAGATTATACATATGTATTTCAAGTCCCTACCCAGTCAGAAGAGGAGCTAGTAGTTAAGAATGCTTGGGTCTTATATGGAAGATTATACATATGTATTTCAAGTCCCTACCCAGTCAGAAGAGTAGCTGGTGGTTGAGAATGCTTGGTTCTTATTTAGAAGGCCCAGGTTCTGTCCTAAGTAAGCTGATAGGTATGTTTCTGTTGGGGGCACAAATTGATTCTAACCTGCACAGTCCATGTTGACTGCATTAACCAAATCATCTTGCTGACTGGCTCAAAGACACTCCCTACCCTATGCTGTTTTTATAAATAAAAACAGTAAAGAAGACAGTCAGTCACGTAGACAAGGTGTTCATTCAAACATGACATGGTCGACGTGATTATATTTACATCAAATAAATTTTGAAATATTTGGGGTGAAATCATCAAACATTTTTAAAAAAATAATATTTTGTGTGTGGTGGTAGCATAACAAATTTACTGGGCAAAACGGTCACCGTTTTGTTTTAGTTTTTGATTTTAAACAGCTTATTAAGAAGCTCCCCCATATTAGGAGGCAACAAACTATGTATTAAAGAGTCATCTTGAAATTTAGCACATTTTTTAATGTCTTTTTTTTAGATGTGGTGTGACGCTTCTTGAATTGTGTGGTACTATTTCAGATAGACTGTGATTTGTTTAGCTGTGATCAGTGTGATTACAAGACGGATACACATCATAAGATGAATATTCATAAGGTAAGAAGTTGTTGTCTGTTCCCATATCTTCTTCATTTGCTCTCAAATATCCACATTTACTCTCATATAAATATGTGAATTTTTTAACATATGCTTGGTCTCCACATCACCCAACAAGTACAGATTGGTCTATAAAAATATAGGTCTAGCCCTATATGCCCAATATGCCTAAAGGCTTGGAAAAGGGACCTTTACTTTTTACTAGCTTGGTCTTCTCTTTGACCCACTTCAAAATTGGGTACCAGGAATTTTTTACTGCAAGTAAAGGCAAATGGTGTGCTATTGACCACATAACTGACGAAGTGCCAGTTTGTCTATAAATCATATCCCCATTGCATGGGAAGGAGTCTTTTACTTTACAGCTTAGTCATATGCATGTCTTGATTAATTGCATGCTTTTTTTCTTTCGGTCTATTTCTTTTCACTAACATTTACCTCAGTTAACACTTAGTTTGCTATCTTCTGGGAGCAGCTGTAGCACAGTGGCAAGACACCTGCCTGAAGGTCTTGGGTTCTGATCCTCATCCAGATGGATTTTGTTTTCAAAATGTACCTCAGCTCCCATGTGGACCCAGTGTAACAAGGGTAATGTCCTGGCAAGTGTTGGCAGCCTGCATGACGCTGACCCCATTGCCCGCTGAATGCCGATTGGTCTATAAAATTGTTAGTCTCAGTATATATCCCTGATTCGCCACTATCTTAAAATAAAAAGTCTGTGGTCTTTTAACAGTGACCATTATATAAGGTACTAGCATGTCAGTGTAGTGGTGCCACTAACTTCAAATAAAAAGTCTGTGGTCTTTTAACAGTGACCATTATATAAGGTACTAGCATGTCAGTGTTGTGGTGCCACTAGCTTCAAATAAAAAGTCTGTGGTCTTTTAACAGTGACCATTATATAAGGTACTAGCATGTCAGTGTTGTGGTGCCACTAGCTTCAAATAAGAAGTCTATAGTCTTTTAACAGTGACCATTATATAAGGTACTAGCATGTCAGTGTTGTGGTGCCACTAGCTTCAAATAAGAAGTCTATAGTCTTTTAACAGTGACCATTATATAAGGTACTAGCATGTCAGTGTAGTGCTCCCAAAGAATCTTCTTAGCAATGTCCCACCAGGCATGGTGTGTCTGTTTACACTCTTGGAGCGCCTCTCCCCCCCCCCCCCCCCCCCCCAGTCTGTCTTTTTTCATACATTTGGTGAAATATTGTTGGTGCTGATAATCATGTGTGTATATTTGTAGGAGATCCATACAGACAGTAAACCCTACACTTGTGATGTCTGTGGCAAGGGATTCCGTCAGGCATCACAAATGAAGAATCATCAAGTCACTCATGTTGTTCAGGAGGGGAAGGAAGCAAGAAAGGGCTGGTTTTCTTCCAAGACATGTGATATCTGTGATAGAGCATTTGCAAACAGGTAGGCTATGGCCATTTCTCTTTGTCAGGAGCAAATCATAGAATTTATGTCCAAGATATTCAGGTGTGTGAGGTAACAGGCAGGCTGACAGATTAGCTGCTGTCGCTCCTCTTAGGCAGTGACCTAATTTCTGATAAAACAGACATGGTGAAGGCTCCCTGGGATCAATTGGACAGTGCATTAGAACAGAGAAATCAATACCTTGAAAGACTAATTCATTGGGGGGGGGGGGGGGGGGAAATAGAAGTTCTGGAAAATATTCAAGGCTGAGGGGAAAACAAAGGCAGACTTTTAATCAGGTTGCAGCTGGTACTGTTAGCATGTTGACTCTTCCTTGGCTCTTCATTCGTTCATTTCTCTTTGTCATTTGAGGTGAGAGTGACCAGACAACATACCTCTCCCAAGAAATAGAGGATGCTTTTCAAGATAAGAAACTGGTACTCGCGGCATGGATAGATTTAAGGAAAGCTTTTGATAAGGTTTGGAAGGAGGGGCTTTTGAAGAAATTGAGAAACTATTAAAAAAATGGAAGAATGCACAATTGGATTTAAGCATATATACTTAACAGAAGAGCCAGTGTACAGGTAGATGGTTTTAAAAGTAAAAAAGTTCTACTGCGACAAGGCGTCCCTCAAGGTGGTGTCCTGTCGCCCACACTTTTCCTCTTATTCATCAATGACCTGATTGCTGAGATACCAAGTGGAATCAAAATGGCAATGTATGCTGACGACCTGGTTCTGTGGTGCACCAATGAACATGCAACAATAGCCACAAAAATACTACAGCAGGCTACAAATGCACTTGAGGCATGGGCCAATAGATGGTGTGTCAGCATCAACACAGACAAATGTAGCACCACACTCTTCACTCTCTACCCAAAGCAAAAAGCGGGCATCATCAAAATAAACGAAATACCCCTGAGAGATGATAAAAAGCCCACATACCTAGGAGTCACATTTGATGACAGGTTGACATGGAGAAAACATATCAACAAGGCAGCAACCAAAGCCAGGAGGAAGACAGCCATACTAAGAAAACTAAGTGGAACAACATGGGGAGCCAGTGGGAAAATACTCAATAAAGTATACAAGCAGAGCATACTTCCACACTTGGAATGTGGGTCAACTGCATGGTGTTCAGCATCTAGTATCACATTAAAGGAGTTGGACAAAGTGCAAAATCAAGCACTCAGAGTCATCACAGGAGGGATGAAATCAACACCCATATTAGAAATGGAGAAAGCTGGGAAAACACAGGCACTGAGAGAATGCAGAGATACAAAGTTGCAAATACAAGCTGAAAAGTTCCTCAGTATGCCTGATCACCCCATGAAAAATAAATTTCAGAACCTAGCCTTGGGACGGTTAAAAATAAGCAGCTTTATACACCAAGCAAAAAAAGAATATGTAGACAAACTCCTGACCTTCCAGAAATTGGTTGCCCTCTTAAAAGTATTCCGGAACAAACCCCATGGAGTGAAAAATGCAAACTAACAGTACAAATCCAGACAAATGTGAAAGGGATATTTGACAAGAAAGAGCAAGATAGTGTACAACGCAGAATGGCCACCCTCAGTTATATTGATGAAGAATACCAACAAGAACAATGGGTCAGAGTCCTTACAGATGGGTCCGCAGAAAGTGCAGTTAGAAATGGTGGTCCTGGAGTGTACATCGAATTCCCAGATGGTACTAGGGATAAGTCCAGCATACCAACCGGGAAGTACTGCCATAACTATGAAGCTGAAACTCAGGCTATCGGGATAGCAACAGCGAAACTGCTAAATGCCAGTCTTGGCTCACAGTATGTGGTAATGCTGACAGATGCTAAATCAGTACTTGAAGCACTCCAGTCTAGGAAACTACCAGAATTGCAAACACTGCTGACACAACTCAGCCTTCAGCGAAGAGTCGTAATGCAGTGGATACCGTCTCACTGTGGAGTGCCTGGAAATGAGAAAGCTGATCAACTGGCAGAAAAAGGTGCGACAAAAGAGCAGCCGGATGTACCAGTTACATACCATCAAAAGAAAAGAATTATTAAATCGATCAGGAAACCACCAGCCCCAGCACAAGAGGACTATTTTATTATGGACAGACTAGAACAAGTCATTATCCTCCGCCTCAGAACAGGGCACAACCGATTACGTAACCACATGTACACAAAATTCAAGATAGGTGTATCAGCCATGTGCATCTGTGGAAATGTGCCCCAGACAGCAGAGCATGTACTCCAGGACTGCACCGAATTTGACACATTAAGGCAAACCTTTTGGCCAGAAAGAACAACAGTGGAACGTAAACTCTATGGACCACTGAATGAACTAACAACGACAGTGAAATTTATACAAGACAAAAACTACTGATATAGACAACTTATTTCAGGCAAACGAAAGAAGAAGAAGAAGAGCTGAGAGTTTTTTAGGGCTAGATAAACCCAGTCCTGATGTAAATAAGTCAGTCAGGAGCAATAAACAGACTGGTGAAAAATTATGTGGAAGCAAAGCTGCAGAGACGTGATCTTATAGAAAAATGAGCACACTGTAATACAGTGGAGTACCCTTTTCTACGCCTTCAGGTGTTTTGGGCATATAGGGCTAGACCTGTATTTTATAGATCAATCAGAAAGTTGTGGTATGGGAAATGGTCATCATTAGGCCAAGAAGAAAGGCCTTATTAATTATTTAACAAATAACGCTGGTGCATATTCGAATCTAATATTTTAAAGTGAGCAGGGAGGCCACTATGCTACCCTGACCCTCTAATTTATGACTTCTCCTTAAGATAAATCTCTTATTTATAATAGTTGTGTGATAATGAAGCTTGTATATTTGTCCTTGTAAAAATGGTAAGTTTTCTTAAGAAAATATGTTTACTTTATGATCAAGTTTTGCTTTGAAATTAAATCATTTACTATATTTTTGTTGCTGTCTTGATCCTGCAACATCATTGTGCCTAATTTTTTTTTTTCAAACTCCACCAGCAAATGCTTAAAAAACCATAAAGCAGCTGTTCACAGTACGTACAAACCTTACGAGTGTATGTACTGTAGCCATACAACAGCTAGGAAGGCAATGATGGAGCTGCACATACGCACACATACGGGAGAAAAGCCTTTCAAGTGAGTATTTTCCTCTTCTTGTAGTCCATACTGAATGACATTGGTAAATCATATCTGACACAGATGTTCTTCAGTGATGTCATAATTAGACTGTCCTATACTTTCTCTATTGGTATTCGTCTTTATCTCTTCCTTTCCTGTTTTCAAGGACTGTCTCCTTAATAAGATACAGGTAAGCAGTTCTCTGAGTGTTTTTCTCTCAGTACATCCTTGTGTGTTTATCATCATCAAGTGCCTAGCCAGCTGGCATAGGCATTCATGCATCTCCACAGGTCTTGGTCTTTGGTGTTCTGGATTAGTTCCACTGATGATATTCCTCCATGCCACTGATTTAAGCCATCTGCCATCATTTCTCTTGATTTTCTCTTGATCTACCTCTACCTCTTCTACCAGTGATCTTTCCAGTCATCTTAATTTTTTTCTAGTGCTCCTTTTCTCATCACATGACCAAAGAACTTTGTTCGTCTCCTTCTCATTGTTGTATATAATGTTCTGCTACTTTCATTCGCCATTTCCATTGTTAGTTATTCTGGCAGCCCAGGCTCTTTCTGTGCTAAAACAGTAACCATTAGCAGTCATTCAATCTAAAGCAAATCTGAAGTAACTTCTTGTTTACATTCAAATGAAAATGACTAGGCACTGTTTTCACAAAACTGGAACATATAACTGTTAAAAACTTGATGTAATATCGGTTGTTCTTTTCTTTCTCCTCTTCTTATTTCTCCCTTTTTCTGTTAGAACTATTGAAGTGTTAAGCATGTACACTGCAGAAAATAGTGTATGACTTTGATATCCTCATGATTCAGGAGGCCAGAATAAAAGGTGAATTCAGCATTAAGTGACCAGGATATAACTGCAGCCTTTGTCAATTGACTGGGGCTAGTGTATAGTACTACAGTGTACTTTGATGTGAGCTCACTGCCCCCTAGCTAGCATGTTGGGGGAGGTGACTAATTAGGGGGTGTTGTCTTTGAAGTAGGGGTGCATACACATAAGCCATATATGTAACATGGATGAGCACACAAAACACAACTTCTAGAACAAGACCAAAGTCCAGGAATGGGTGAACAACCAGAACTTTCTTCCGGAGTTTACAGCCAGTGAACACCAAGAAGAGGTAATGTTTCTGCTATGTGCAGTTATTAAGGAATTCAGTGTATAATCTTGTGCTGTTTTAATTCTTAGATGTGATATATGCAGCTACAGTACAGGGGACCATAATTCTATGAGGCGACACAAGGTAAGGTCTAAACAAATGTAACTGCCTTTGCATAACTGTTTTGGTTTCATTATATAATATGCTGTTCGGTCAGTAACTTCTTCTTCTTCTTCTTTTTTCTTAGCGTTCACCATCTGTAAACTCCAGTGGAAGGTTATGGAGGTTCTTCCACCTCATGACTTTAGTCTTATTCCAGCACCTGAGTTTTGCATGTGCATCCATTTTACAGATCTGGCTAATGTGTGTGCAGACTGCCGATTCCTTGCATGGCAGGCAGATGCATTCCGACTTTAAAGGAAGTCCCCCATTAGTGGACTCTTACGAGGCAGTTGGTCTGTTCTTGTTTCCCCCCACAATGGGGCCTTGGAACCCATACTGGGATTCTTCTTCTTTGTGTTCACTGGCTGTAAACTCTGTCAGAAAGTTCTGGATTTTTAATTCTTATTCCAGAATTTGAGATTTGCCTGCACATTCATTTTACAGATCTGGCTTATTTGTGTGCAGAATGTTAGTTCCTCGCCTCTGAGACAGATGCACTCTGACCTTAAAGGAAACACCCCGGGATTAGTTAACTTTTATGATATGCTTGTTGGGGGTGCAGTGGGTTTCTTCTTCTTCCTCCCACAGTATAAACCCGAAACCCAAACAGGGACACCTGTAGTTTAACCCGCTGTTGTAGCTGATAGATGATATGGCTGTTGTCTGGCTAAACAGGTTAGTGTTAAGAACAACAATGGAAAGTAAACTTTGTGGGCCACTGAATAAAGTAAAAACAATAATGAACTTTAAATGAGAGACACAATTTATGATATAAACAGCTTATTTCAGGTGAATGAAAAAAGACGGTTATAGTTAGGGTTCTTTTCACCCCATTGATGCTAGACCACAATGTGAAAACCACAGAGCCATGTCTCTCCTCAGTATTTCTGGTAAAAGCCCATATTTTCACTCTTTCAGTGCCAAACATCTCACCTGACATTTCTTGGTTATTACAAAAATAATATAATATTCTTGCTTTCTTCTATCACAGACAGATGTTATGTTAACTCTTTGTAACTAAACTATTAGTTTAACTGCTTCTGTCTCATAGTGTCTGTGTTGTACTCTTTCAGACCTAAGTAGTTACTGCTTTTAAACTCAACTCTGGGATGAAAAGAGTTAAGTAAGTGTCTAGAGACTGAAGAGTTAATCCAGTTGGCACTCATTGGATGGTGTGATAAGCACAATAAGCATCACATGTACCACCTTATTTCCCAGGATACTTTAGGTAAATAATATTTTAAAAACACCTCTCAATGCAGAATCAAACTGAAGACTTTCTGGCTGACCGCCAATTATCTTATCATTCCGTTGTCAGAGTTTTATTTCCCTCAACCCCCTCCCTAACAGAATTTGAGAGCTTGACAAAGGCTGCATACAAAATCAGAAGTATAAAGAAAGTCTTTTTTAGAGAATGGGAATCAAAATACTTACTTGATAATTGAAATAGTTCATCCACACACTGTTACTGTTAAATTTAGCTGCTCATGGTTTTAAAAGACTTCTTATCCTGTTCTAAAGTCTTGTGTAATTGCATCGGACTCACAGAGCATGCTTCGGAAAATAGAAACTGGTGTCCTACACCCAGAGTGGCTTGCATCAATTGATCAGGAGCATATCATGGATTGTTTTGTCCAGAATTAGTCAAGTGTGCGAGGTAATGAGCAGGCTGATAGATTAGCTGCTGCCGCTCCTTTGGGCAGTGAGCTACTTTATGATGAAGCAGACGTAGTGAAGGCATTCTAGCATCAGATGGACAGTACGATAGAATATACAGAGAATTCATACATTTAAAGACTGCTACAACAGGGTATCAGTGGAGGTTCTGGAAGATATTCAACATTGAGGGCGACATAGGCAGATTTTAATCAGGTTGCCTCTGATACTATTAGCATGTTGATGGCTACTGAAGAAGGGGACGGAGCATGTGTGATCAAGTCCTGAATGCAGTGTTGTCAATTCTTGATTCATTCGTTCATTCTAAATACTTGCAGTGTGTCTTTTACTGCACAGATGCGCCATACAGGGCAGAAGCAGTACAGGTGCACACAGTGCCCTTACACATGCATACAGAGTATCTCTCTGAAACAGCACATGCGCCACAAGCACCCGGGCACTACAGCGGGCATATTCCAGTGCTCTAGATGCCCCTTCAGAACCATCAACCAGGAAATCTACAGCAATCATGTGCAGGTAAGAAAATGGGCTGCTTCCATTCTCCCACCTTTAGACATACGAGACACGTCATTCTGGTCCCATATTTACATTTTTGTTTTGTTTGTGCCGACCAGTCAGTAGGTGGTGTAGGCTGTATCAGGTTGGCTGCCTTTCCTCAGTAAAGATTTTAATGCATGAAAGCTGGGTGAACCTACTAGTAACTTCTGGCTTTCTTCCATTTTGTCCTCTCTGTCCTGTTAGCTGATATAGTGTGTTGCTATTATTCTCTTTGTGCCTGCCTGCACATGGTTTAATAGAGTCGGATATGAATATATTTGATAATGAAGGAAGAAATGATTGGAGAAAGAATGACAGCTGAGCATCTGAGAAGAAACAGACTAAACACAAATGTTCACAACAATGATTCTGAAATCCCGTGTTACAATTTTTCTTAAGGGGGGCGGGTCTTGCTAGTCACACTCGCCAATACCATAGTGCAATATAACACTATCATCTGGAAAAACGGAAAGGTGCCAATCATTCATATGAAAATTTGTACAAAGAATAGCTTTTAGGGAGGTTTTTTTTTTGCCTGGTGTCAGTGTTAAAGGTCAAGAAATCACAGCATGATCCCTGTGCTCAATACATGTTTAAGCTCCCGGAGAAGATATTCCATTAAAGGCTTCACTGTATGTTTAGTAATTACTTCCATTCTGTTTTGGGGAACAATTTTAAAATATATAAATTTAAAAAAATTATTGGTGGCCTCTGTCAAATGATTTTTTTTTTTTTTTTTTCATGAATTTTTGGTGTCATGTCCATTTTTTGTTTAACCATGCAGCAAGGCTGAGTACATATTTGTGTATAAATACTTAAGTATTTGTTGATCAAGGAGGAATATATGAGAGGAACACTAACTATAGAGCCAATTTCTTTGAAATGGTTGTATTTTTTCTGTTGCCATATAGTCAGCCAGTTATCATGTGCCATGTTTACAAAAATCCGCTTCTATATGGATTTGAACCTAAAATCTTTGTGCTGGCAAGCGGCTGACCACAGTTACTGCTGCTCGCTATAGTAACAATTACATTAAAAATTTATTTAAAAAAAAAAAAAAACAGGCGTTCATGTTTGATCGTTGTTGAAATTGTACTTCAGTTATATAGGATTCACTTATTTGCTTCATTTATGTAATTGTTACTGTAGTATGCACCTGACCAGATACAGCGAAATATAAAAAGTAAAAAAAAAAAAAAAAGTAAAGGACCCTTTTCCACGCCTTTAGGCATATAGGGCAGATAGGGTAAGACATATATTTTAAGAAAACCTATCAGCACAAGATGGGTAATGTGGTCAGTATCACGCCGGCCGCCTCTACTTCCCAGGACTGCACCCGGTACCCACTCAAGGCTGGGTCGACCTGGGAACAGCGAAATATGCCAGGCAATAAATTGTGCAATCTATTGTTTGTGTCTTCTTTGTTCAAATTGTTTTTTTCAAGCTAAATACTTGCCAACTTTAGATAAAACCAAATTTGCAACATGATCCATAGGACCACAAGAAAGGCCTCATCCCAGATAAGGTTGTTCCTCAGAGATTAGAATTACCTAAAGCCAAAAGGATACCCCGAAGACTGCAGGCTGGCTCGGCTAAACGACATGCAGCTGGGCAATCAGTGGTATGTTGTGTGCAGTGTTGTAATATGTGTGTTCATTTTGAGATCATAAATTTATTGTACTGCATGCCTGTATGCTACATTTAGATCAAACAGATTCCTCCAATAAAAGAATGGCTAGCACATGGTGTTGTGGTTCACAGCCAGGCAGTGATATATGCTTCTTTCAGCACAGCACCTCCCATTTCAGCGATCTTAATCAGTTGTCTTGTACAACATGCTTGTTAATGGGCAGTGTCTATTTTTATGTTCCCAGAATGGGGTCCCAGAACCCACGGAAAGATAAAAAGCTTCAATTTGCCAGTTTTCTTTATATAGGCAGCCAAAATGACTATCCGTTTTTAACCAGATTTTGCTAGACAGTGAAGAAGGATTAGAGACTTTCTTTACAGATGCTGTGCAAGAGTTAGACCGGAAGAACACAAGAGCAAGCTGGTCAGGTTACAAGAAGGTGTTCTCCAGGGAGGTGTTATATCTCCTATCTTGTTTATCCTTTTCATCAATGACCTCCCAAAACATGCATGAACAACAACCCCATGTACAGAAAAGCAAATAACCTAACTAAAAAATATTGAAAAGACAAAGCTTTTATGATCTATCAAAATTGTACTACACAAAAAACAGTCACATCCTTTCTAAAGATTCTTCAACATGGGAAATGATCCAGGCATACAGCCTAACTATACAGTCACAACAGCAATTCCAGGCTTAGACAGAAAGGCTGAAGAATATGACCTAGTACTGCAGGCAAAGACCCTTGAACATGTCTACAACTCTTCCCCAAAACCCGAACTGACATACATTTACACCGATGGATCATTGGAGGGAGCAGAAAAAAACAGAGGAGCTGGATTGGTCATTGTGCTGCAAGATGGGACCACAATAGAAACATCATGCACCTCTCGAAAACTCTCAACAAACTTCAGAGCAGAGCAGCCAGCAAAAGAGATTGAGGAAAAAAAAATTTTTTTTAAAGCAAAATTGTTTTAATTTGAGACTGCATTTCAGTCCTCCAGGTGACTCAGAGGGATCCATGAGACAACATAGAGAGAGAACTTACCCTCCTGCTAAACAGACTCGCAGAAATCAATCAGATCATTCTGCAGTGGATCCCGGCTCACTGCAGCATACCAGGGAAAGAGTTAGCAGACAGACTTGCTAAAAATAGAACAAAGGAGAAACAACACACCTATCCATTGTCGATATATGGAATTGTGGAGAGAACAAACTAATAGTAAACATCCACAAGACCTCATCAGCAGACGCAACAGAAAGCAACATGCAGCAATTTTCCATCTACGAACAGGACACTGCAAGCTCAACTACCATATGCATAAAATGAAGACTGTACAGTCTCCACAGTGTGCCTGTCAGACAGGACCACAAACACCTGTGCAAATTCTGCAGACCTGGCCTCAAGAGCAAAGTGTGCACAGCGAGCTATGGGGAACCATGAAGGACAAGTGAGTTCATAGAGGCAGACCTGATGGTCTGATCTGAGCATACAAAACCGAACGCGAAGAAGAAGCAAAGCTTTATAAACATCTGTACACAATTTTCTGTAGACTTCCTCTGTGACCCCAGAGAAAAGGTGTGTTTGTTTTGCTGCTTGCAAATGCTCACGGATCTCGCTGTGTTTTCTCTGCTTCCTTGACCCTCTTCAACTTTCTGTTCAAGGTGGAGACCTTGCTCATGAAACACCCCCAGTTCCATGCAGTTCTGCCCGGAGAGGAGCCCACCATCTTGTCAAGCATCACTGGAGATCCTCTTTCACGTGGCATTGAGGCTGAGGTTTTCAACATGCAGGTGGGTGGTTTTTTTTAAAGTTCAGAACCCCTTTCCAGGCCTTCCAGCATATGTTGTATTTTATAGGCCAATCAGCATTTGACTGGTGATGTTGGTCAACATCATGCTGCAACATGCAGGTCATGTTAGTTGAATCAAAGTTGTTTTTGTCTCTTTTAGTTTGTGTCACATATAACCAGATTGTAACCAGCACCATCACTATTGGAACTCTGCACTGGCTGCTGAAGATGAGGAAGGAGCATGCATGGGAATGCCCTGAGTACTGTGATATCAATTCTTGACCCAACACAACTCAACTTTTAGTTTGTTGAGGAAAAGAAACACATGTGGAAACTTGTTTTATAGAAACAGAATTCCATTAACAGATGAAACGCGTAATGAAGTCTTGATTGAAATTTCTGCAAAAAACACTTCAGAGTGTTGTGATATACATTCTTTGGTAAGGGAAAAACTTGAGTATGTTGTGACAGTGGGCAAGGAATACAGACAGATGGTTTACCAAGAGATGATTCTGGACAGTTAACTGACAGACGTTTTATTGAGATCACAAATGGCTTTGACTTTGTAAAGTACAAAGAAACACTATTGTCTAGAAAGACAGAAAGATGCCAACAGAGTGAGATGAAAGGATATTCCTGGCCATCAGTTGTATTGCCCATCTCCAGACAACCTCTTTTATCTATTTGAGTCTCAGTGAACCCCCCATTGTGAAAGATCTCAGTTTGTAATTGCAGCTGAACGTCTGCACTGGTGTACTGATGCCCTGTTCACTTAATTTCAGCACATTCAATCTTTTACCTGCGTTCTTGACCACATAAAATCCCTGTGTGGGTTCTGGGGTCCCCTTGTAGGGGTAGACCCACTTGCTCCCCCAAGAGTTTAAGAGTAAACTAATTTGGAGCATGCTTCAAAGTCAAAAGTGCGTCTGCCAGAGAAGCAAGGAGCCAACAGTTTGCATACAGATCAGTCAAATCTGTAAAACAGATGTGCACACAACACTCCTGTTCTGGAACAAGACTGAAGTCCAGAAGTGAATGAACAACCAGAACTTTCCACCAAAGTTTACAGCCAGTGAATGTGAAGAAGAAAAAGACCATATAAATGCTATTTAAATTTTTTTTGTGCAGGTGACGATGCTGCCTGATGGTGACACTCAGATCAGTGCCGATGACATGAATAGATTATCTGAAAGTCCGTGTCTCTTAGCAACGGGGGTTTCACCGCTACAGCTGATCTACTCCACCCTGTCCACCATCTCTGAGCAGGGAGAGGCTGTGAGGGTAGGGGAAGGCAAATCTGCCCTGTTGACGGCAGAACTCATTGGGGGGATTCACACAGCCATTCTCAGCTCCATGCAGGATGGAGTGACTGTACATTCGGTCACCTACCACATACCCAAGATCGGAGCTGGGCTCAACAGTGAAGATGACAGTGACAAGGTTCCCAATGTTGGCTTAACAAAAGGGGATGATGAACTAATGAACATTCAAGCCAGAAATACGGAAAACATCAACAACAGTGTTGATAATAATGCTCAGAAACTGGACGCAGTTGAAAGTGGTATGGGGCCAGTTGTGTTGCAAGACTCTGGTATTGGGGAAGCTGAAGATAAGAAGTCAGAAAACATCTTTTATTCTGAAGTCTCTGTGAAATCTGATAACCCCATTGATATTGTAAACAAGGACAGTTGTATATCTCTGGATTCTCCTTCAAAGATGGATTGTATAAACAGAAGTGAGAAATTGCTGGAATCCAGTGTTTTGAGAGAGATGTTAGAATGCAAGGATAAGGTTTCTTTTCTAAATACGCAGGACGGGATGGTAAATTTTATCACTGTAGACTTCCTAGATTCTTCCATTGTAAGTGCCACGACACCAGATGTTTCATTGGGCATAACTCGCCATGGTGAATCCGAGAGTGTTTGATATTGCATTAGAAAAATCACTTTTGTAAGAGATGTGTTTGTTAAACTATTGGAGCTGAGCTGAAAGTACTCAGAAATGCAGTCTCAATTCTGTGATAAGTAACATGCGTCTTGGTGTTTGTTGTAGTTTTTTTTGAACAGTCTATGTCAGCAAGGAAAGAACATTCAAACTTATCATCACCAAGTACGTTGTCAACTGGTCAGTGATCACGCTTCTCCACAAAACACAGTTTTCAACAGATGAACACCATCTCCTTAACAGACGACTATCCGCACTTTAAGTTCCTGAAACTGATGCAGTAAAGTACATAATGTATTTTTCACATTGTATATAAAAACTATATATACATAGAATGAATATTTGTATTTTGTGTACAATATTTCTGCATATGAGACTTTTTACAGCAGAACATCTGGGAGGAAAGTGAGGGGAAGACCAAGAAAGATATGAATAGATGATGTAGATGACACATGCAGAAAGATGAACAAATTTATCATCCAAGCCACCAGAGAAGCTCAAGACAAATACAGAAAACCACAACAGTGGGCTACAGCCTGGTATCAGTGAGATGGCAAAAGAAAAAAAACATACATCATTAATAATCCCAGGGCTTTCAACTAACTTTACCCAGGGGCCAACATTTTTTAATGGGGATCGTCACGGGCCAAAAGCTCGAGCCCTAGCCGAGAAAGCATGTTGTAAGAGTCGACTAATTGGGAGCTTCCTTCGAAGTCAGTGTACATCTGCCTGAGAGGCAAGGAACTAACAGTCTGCATGCAAATGAGTCAGACCTGTAAAATGAATGCAATAACTCAGTTTCTGGAACAGGATTAGGTAAAATGTCTGCCTCTTTCTGATGTTCCTGATAAGTTGTCTTCAGGTCTTAGCTTCTTTCAGAACTACAGCAGAAAGCAAAATTTTCTATTTTTCAATGATAAAGCCAACAATGTACAGCTTATTCTGCTAACCTTTGTAAACTGACAATGTGCCTTAAAAAACATGGCTTTACACAATTTGCCGTAACTTTTTTGCCTGCCATGTATGTTTTAACACATTAGGTTAAGTTAGTTGCATATCCTTTACAGGACGATGCAAAACTAACCCCTGTATTTATTGGTTGTTGTGGGTTCTCTAGGCAAATTTTACGTTCAGTAGTTTGCCACTGCTCCTGAATGGTCAGCTCGGTACCACTACCGAAAACAGTGAAAGACAAATCGTCCGCGGCTGGGATCCAACCCAGCACCATGGCATTACGAAGTACATTCGCAAGCCACTGACACCGTATATGTTGAAAGTAATCTCATGAAAGATACTGTCATAGCGATGTAACTTTGTTAATGGTATCATCATTATTTGCATGGGTATATAACATAAATACTCATATCTTTCCATGTATTTGTCCTCTGTTCTGGGCCAAGTCTGTTTACGATGTTCCTTCAATCCAGCATCTTCTCCTCCTTCTGCATCCGCTCTTAAAAGGGCGCTTTTTTTTTTGAGTTTGAGTCGACCTGTGAGTCAAGGTCAGATTTGAAAAGGAATTAAGTCTGGTCTGTTCGGATTCAAACCCATGACCTTCAGATTTACAGGCGAGCACCTATTTCTATATAGTAAATGCAGTAAACTCTCATTAACACAGATTCCAAGGGACTGAAAATTGAAATTGTGTTTTGAGAAAAAAAATGCTATCTAACCAAGAGCTAACAAGAACAATCCATTCATGCTGGGACCAAAATGTGTTTATCTTGATCACTCTGACCAAGTGGTCTTCTTAAGCCATTTTCTTAAATAAGGTTTTACTGTAATTGTGTTCAATACTAGTCTGAATGTGACAGGCTAGTTCAAGTGAGACATTCTAAGAAGTTTGTCAAAATACTGACTGGTCCAGCAAACATTTTTTTTTAATGCTGATAGAAAAAATAATGAGATCTGAGGAACCGACTACGGACACTGAAAAGTACTAAATACAAAGTGCACAGAAGAGCTAATTCCAGAGATCTCTTCCTCCCTTGATGCTGCGAGGCATTCCAGGAGTAGAGGGAACAAGAAGAAGAAGACTGTAATTAGTTTTTTAATGTGATAATGTGTCATGATTTCCTGAACAATTCTCTAGTACTAGTGTCGGCAGCCTGTGACACTCGTGCTAGGTGTGGTCCATGGAATTATTTTCAGTGGCTTGCTGAGTGAATTGAAGTGGGGTGTATGATCTTATTTAAAATAAAATAGAAATATAATCCATGTAGAGATTACATTTCTTTTCCTTCTGCATTTGCTGTTAAAAGATCAGTTGGCATGTTATGTTGTGGTTTACAGCTAGGCTTTGATATCTGCACATTTCAGCCCAATACATCAGATTTCAGTAAATCTCTAATTAGCACCTTATTGTGAGTAAACCCAGCTTCATATAGTAGATACTGGATAATTTTGAGAATCTCTGCTAAAAGCTCCATAAATAATGTATTAGTTTGCTGTTCTTGGTCCCACTATTTTAGTGCCCAGTGACCATATGTCCAGTGCATCACTGGCATGTAAAAGCTCCATAAATAATGTATTAGTTTGCTGTTCTTGGTCATGTTATTTTAGTACTGAGTGACCATATGCCCAGTGCATCACTGGCATGTAAAAGCTCTATAAATAATGTATTAGTTTGCTGTTCTTGGTCCTCTGTTATTTTAAGGCACCTGTAGATTTGGTGCAAATTCAGTGTATGTTTGTTTCACGGCCTGCTTCTTAACCCTACCAGACCGCTGGCCAGATTTTCCGGGAATTTCTTAACCTGGTGCTTTACGGCAGGCCCTAATTTTCGGATTTTAGCATAGTGCGTGAAAAAAAAAGATGCGTCACAGACTAAAAATAACTAGTCAATCGTCATCAGACCTCGTGGATAGTCTTCCTAGATCTCCGCCCTCGTGTGTTTGGATAAAATTTGTTATGAAAAAATTCAGAATGAAATTTTTTGTTATTTGAAGCCCTACTCTGGCTCTTGCCACAAAGGTGGAATATTGGCGCTAGATAAAAGATAAGCCTATTTTCTACAATGTCTCCAAGTTTAATCTTATTCTAGCCACTTGTTTGCATGTAACGAATATTTGTGTATATCATGTTGGTTTTTTTGCGTTAATGCCCAGGAGCTCAGGTATAGGGGACAGTTAGGTTCAGGGCCTCAGGTCTAATAGGGTTAATGATTGAATATCATCATCATTATCCTCTAACACTTCGTGTTGTTGGGTTATTAGTTTGATCAGCTGCTTCCACCTTTGGCAGTCAGATGCGATGGACTTCCTGGTTTTGAGAGCTATTAGATCTTATTACATGTCCATACTATTGCAATTTCGGTTTCTTTATTAAACTGTATTTAAAAGAGGTTCATAGTTACCAGTGTGAAATGATTGAAGATGCATTTTTTTTTTTTATAAAACATAAATTAATTTGACCACTTGTTTTGTTGAAATTAGTATTTCATTAACTTGTTAAAGAGATACATTTAGTGTTTCACTTTAACAGTTTGTTTATGTGCAATAAATGCTTTTGATATAAATTGTCTAGAAATTGAAGTTTTGTTGTTCTGTTTGTTTCCAGGATTGTCTTCCCTGTGAGTTGGGGCCCCATCGTGGGGGGAATGAATTGGGGGCTTCCTTTGAAGTCGGATGCCCCTGCCTAGGAGGCAAGGAACCGACAGTCTGCATACAAATAAGTCATATATGTGGAACAGATGTGCTCACATCACTCAGATTCTTGAACAAGACATTAAGTCCAGACGTGGATAAACAACCAGAACACTCAGCTGGTGAGCGGGAAAAAAAGTTTCCAGTATCATGGTTTTGGTTAGAAATTTCTACCTGCGGAGTGATTCAGAGTAGGATATACATACCTTTATCGTGCACCTGGTGAGTTGAGTGCATGGTATGAGCTGTGGATTTCACATGGAATGTGTTTTACAGTGCCCAGAGTGGTTGGTTTATGTTGAGAAGGCAGATTCAGAAAATGATGGGTGGTCTGTTAACATAGACCAGCCAATGCCTTATGCAATATCGCCCCTGTAGCTCCTGATTTGTGGTATCTGCATCTTCCATCGACGATGAACAGCGATTTTAGTGATGGAAGGTTTGTGTTGGCACTTCTGGTGGTCGTCTTATCCATTTAATGCATACGTATACTGTTGGCCTTTTTGCGATTGGAATTTTATCAAAAACAACAGGGCAACAAATGAGCATTCTGTATGGTTTTCGCTGGCATCGGAACAGGGTAATGATGGGCTAACCAGTTTGCTGTCAAAGAGTGAGATACTACTGCTACTGCTTTTAGAGCACCACAAACCTGGTTAGAAATGAGTGGATCTGTTCTAGATGGTACAGTGGGGGTTGGAATTCTCACCATAGTTTCAGTTAATCAGCAGATTATCCTCATTGCACATGGAACAAGCAGCTCAGATATCTTCTTCTTCTTCTTCGTGTTCACCAGCTGTACACTCTAGCGGAAAGTTCTGGTTGCTCGTCCATTACTGAACTGCAGTCCTGCTCCAGTACCTGAGTGTTGCATGTGCATCAGTTTTACAGATCTCATTCTCTTGAATACAGACTGTTGGTTCCTTGCCTCTCCGGCAGATGCACTCCAACTGCAAAGGAAGCTCCCCAATTAGTCGACTCTTACGACATGCTTTTGGGGAGTTAGTGGGTCTATTCTTGTTTCCCCCACAATGGGGCCCCGGAACCCACATGGGGGAGCTCAGATATCATCTTCAGTATGTCCCTCAGCACATGCCTACTGGTAACACCAGTTCTGTGTTGGTTAAATTTTTTTTGTTTTGGCCGCCTGTATAATATTCACGTCTGGCAATACCTCTTTTGACTTGTTCTTGTATTGCTTTGAATGTTCCTGACTCAACATTGTCTCTTGAATAACTTACTTGTCCTGCCTCCAGAGCGTTGAGAATATCGAGCCCAGTCCATTCTCACCATACAAAAGGGTACTGTGATGAAGCTTAAATGCTAATTATATTATAGGAAGTCTATCCCCATGTGGGACACTTTTTTTTCCGTTATTTTGAAGCTCCTTCCTGGCTGTTACTGGGAGCCCTAACCCAACCTGGGGGTTGAATGGCATTTCTGAGACCAGTCCCCGGGTGATCCTCATTCGAATGGTGATACTTTGTGTCACCAGGTGTTTATCGCTCAGCGTGGTATCCTGGTGGGGTTAAACCTTAGTCAGTCAGCTGACACGCTCTGAAGATGGCGACTTTGCAAGTACAGATGATTCTCATATCCTTGGTGGTAGTTTCTTCAACATCAGTTTGTGCAACTTTTATGAGCAACCAGTCACCTTTGTTGAACTTTTTATTCTGCAACACCAGCTGGCCAGTCACAGGGAGATGAAGACAACATGAGAATATTTTTTGACAGTCTGCTGTCATGGCATGGAGACGCGTCAGCACACGAACTGATACATGCTGTTGGAGATCAAAGATTTTGTAACGCATGATCGCCCCTACCAGTCGGCAAGACACTTGATGATGACACAGCTGCAAATATTTTTGAGTAACAACTCTGCTATATCGTCTTTTTTGTCCTGTAATTTAAAAAAGTGGACAGTTTTGTTCTGTTGTCTGTTAACAGCAGCAGTAGTATATTTGTGACTTTCAGCAAACATATTTCACGTTCCGACAACTGCTGACAAAGTTAGTCATCCCTTGTCATTATGTATTGTATTCCAGTTTCAATGTGTACCTGTGTGGATTCCAGGGCCACATTGTAGGTGAAACAAGGGAAAAAGCCCAATAACAAGCATGTCCTAAGAGTCTACCAATTAGGGGTGTTTCCTCTGAAGTCGGAGTGCATCTGCCACACAGTTGAGGAACCAACAAGTCTACAGACATATAAGCCAAATCTGTAACACGCAAAACGCAAGTTCTGAAACAAGATTATCAAGTCCAGAACTGGACAACCAACCAGAATTTTTCAGTGGAGTTTACAGCCGGTGTACATGCAGGAGAAGAAGAATGCTAAGATGTCAGCCACGTCTATTTCACCCAAAGCAGATTCACCACAAGAGCTGTGGAAGTGTAGCAGCTAGGTACGTGGCTGCTAGCCAAAAGGTCAAGGGTTCAAACCTGCACTGAGGCAGATATCCTCTTAACACTGACACTGGCTCCCAGATCAAGCCAGCCTAAAACGGGTACCAGGTAATCTCCTGGGAAGTAATGATGACCACATTGCTAATTGATTGCTGGCTGTCCATGATTTACTTTTGAATATCAGGTTAGGAATTATACAGCTTTTAAGAAAATATAAAAATCAGTTAATGTATAATGTTTCAGGTCTAGGCGTACACATGGAATCACCATGTCCTATATATACCTGCTTATCCTCACATCTGTCAAAATATTAATTTTTGTTTTAACTCTTTGAGTTTAAGAAACACATCATAGGTTGTTTATAGGTTCCTACCCAGAAGTTCAATGAACGCTTGATGCGCTGATTTTAGGTCTCCCTTAAATACCCCTTGGGCCTGTGATGCTAAACCCGCTGGGACTCAAAGAGTTAAGTTTCAAGGAATGCTGTATACAGAGAAAAATTGTACAAACAGGAACTGTGAATATTGTAACGCTTCATTTATTATAGGATACAACAACTTTTTAAAGTACTAGTAAGTATTCATATAAGAAAAAAGTAATGCACAATTTTCATGTACGCCGTACAGTGCTGGGCATGCATACTTATAGACCAATCGGCATGTGACGTGGTTATGCTGGCTACCTTTACTTCCCATGACATTACTTTACCCATTTTAGGCTGGGTCGATCAGGACGCTAAAGTCAATTTTGAAGAAGAAAAATATGCCAGCAGATTTGAACCTTAGACCTTCGGACTGGTAGATGAGCCTCTAGCCTTTACACCACTGCAGCTCTAAGGTACATACGGTTACCTCATTCCCTACTGATAAATGCAGCATGTTTCGTTGATTAATCCTTATGAGCTTTTCTTAATTCTGTGTGCTATATTCAACTGATAATTTAAGTACTTCTCTCTCATGTGTAGACCATTATTATCATTTAGCAGGTCGTCTACTGAAAGGTGTATTTTTTTTTTTTTTTTTTTAACGTATCCAGAAACCATGAGTTGTAAACCCTTTGGCTCGGTACAATGGATATCGCAACCCTTCGGCATTGATTCCATTATAGGTACCGTTAATCTGGGAGAAATATGGCTTTTCTGCCTACTACCGGGAGTGAACCCGGACCACAAGGAGTTCGTCACCCGGCCGCCGGGTCTTCAATGCCATTGTCTTGTAACCTGTCAATATTGCTCCTCTTTGGTACATGTCAAAGATAGGGTGGCCATCTTTATACTGTCATTATGACATCAATGTGTTGTCAAATGCTTAACACTCTTGAAATTGCCTTTACGCTTACAACTTGGACAATTCTCCTAACATCACTGGGTTTTTTTTGTCTGGTTAATCACTGGGATTTCTTCGTGTAGAAATTTAAAGTTGATCAAAACCCATTACTTGCTTGTATACTTCAATATTACAACGAAATTATGAAATTATAGGTTATAATAACAAAACATACACCAGCCATTTAAAAAAATAAGTACAGTGGCTGCAACAACTTGGTTTTGTCTTGTCTGGTTCAAAACTAGGATTTTTTCATGTAGTCAATATAAAGGCAGGTCAAACCCATTACCCTCTTTTATTTTTTTATAATTTTTCAAAAGATGTTTGCCTGCTGGCCAGGTCTTGGATTAAAATCCACCACAATGCTGATTTTTCCCTTAAAAACTGACCTTGGCTCTCAGCTGGACCCAGTCTAAATGGGTACCAAGTGGTTGGTGTCCAGGGAAATAAAGGCAGCTTGCATGATACTGAGCACATCACCATTTGAGAGCTGATCGGTCTTTAAAAATATTGGTCTAGCACTAATGTACCACTGGCATACAAAAAATTGTCCTTTTACTTCACTTATTTTATCACTACATAAAAATGGTCCTTTGCTTTTCTCTCTTTATTAATACATAAAAAATGTCCTTTATTTAAATTACTTTACTACAACAACAAAACAAACAGGTGAAGTAGGTTAAAAGTACAGAACATTTCTACACTTCTATAATTTTCCTCATGTGTTTGTCTTGTCTTGATGTTGGTAACTGGGATTTACCGCATCTTCACCCAGAAACTTTAATGGCCGATCAAAGCCCATTAAGTGCTTGTACACTTCAATACTCGTGAAGTCATCTTCGTGCACAAACAATGGCCGGCCACGAACCGTTAACATGGCAAACATGTTGGGTACATCGGGGACAGCAACGTCTGCAGCTGTGAATGTGATAACCTGACGTCTGGCAAAGAAAGTCAGAAGGTATGCAGTGAAAACCTTTGTGTCCGGGTTAAAATACAACTCCGTCACATATTTTTTGGCAATGAAGTGAATTAACAACGGATTCACAAATACGAAACAGTTGAGAGTTGCAAAAATCGGCAGCGCAGCGACAAGAGGCATGTTCTGATAGGTAATCAGCAAATATGGCTGGGCAAGCAGACCAATGGCGCTTGTGCTAAGGGAGAAGATCTTCAGTGCCCTCAACCCTTTAGCCACACGTCCTTTATAAACAAGATGACCCAATGAACTGTCCTCTGATGTTGATGAATACAACCTGATAATAGTGTGGTTGTTAGGTCTCTCTGTTGCATTCAGCAATTTCTGAGGCAGACAAGACAGATGTAGGTTCGGCTGTGATGTTGTCCGTGCAGTACCCATCACTCCAGTGATATCAACACTGGAACACACGCCAGCTAGACCACTTAACCGTCTGCTGAACAATGGGCCAATCAAACCACGGCTAATTAACTTGAATGAAACTGACATCTTGCTTGGGAGAAGCACACCTGGCTATTAGGGATTTTCTGCAACTTGAATCCTGGCAAAATAAAATTGAGAATTTTATACTGTTCCGCATTAGGTATTAATGTAAAACAACTGATTATGATACATATCCATACAGATAATTTTTATCACCAGCAAGGAGATAAAAATTAGAATTTTGAGAGCATGCATCTTCACTGTGGCTACATACGGATGTGAGTCATGGACTATCTCTCAGTCCTTAAGAAAGAGAATAGGGGAGCTTTTGAGCTGAAATGCTATAGAAAGATTCTCCGAATATTTTGGCAAAGAGGAGAAATACTGACATCTTAAAAGATCTGAACATCAAGGAAGATTGGCTAATAAACAGCATCCTTTCTCGAAAGCTGAAATATTTTGGTCATATCAAACACCACGACGGATTGGAAAAAATTATAGCAGAAAGCATGGTACCAGGAAGGAGGGGCAGGGGCCGACCGACACGAAGATGGGCACAGGATATAAGTGACTCCTTGAGTGTGAAAGTGCATGAGACGGGAGAGCTGACGAGAGACCGAGTTTCTTTCAGGCAGACTGTGATGAGAGTGACGTTCTGCAAAGGACCTGCTACATGATGATGATGATCCATACAGACAGCTATTTTGCAGAGTGTTCTCTTAAATGTGTTGAGGTGGATTCATGAGAACAAAATGCCATAGACAGTGTTGTGAGGAGGGAGGGGACAAATCAGGAGGGGAATGAGAATGAAGGAAGAAATGACTGCAGAAAAGATGAGAACTGAGCACCTAAGATAAACACTAAACACAAATGTTGACGATGATCCTGAAATCCCCATGCTGAGGACTTTTATTAACGTGGGCGGGTCTTGCTAGTCACACTCACCATCAACATGGGCTGTGAGTCCCATACCTCCTCAAAGCGCAATTTAATACTATCGTCTGGAAAGATGGATAGGTGCCAATCAGTCTCTCGAGAAGTATGGTACTAGTGTACACTGGGCTTGGTTGCTAAAAGAGCCAGACTTTTTTTTTTCAAAATGACCTTAGCTATCAGCCTTGAGTGGGTACCAGGTATACTCCTGAGACGTAAAGGTGGCCGACGTAATGATGACCACATCATCCACCGAGTGGTCTATAAAATATATGTCTAGCCCTATATGCCCAATATGTCTGAAGGTGTGGAAAAGGGTCCTTTACTTTTACTAGTATACATGAGATACTGACTGTTTCAAGTTTTCAAATTATAGTGTGTACATGAAGTCGTGAATATTTCAAACTTCCAATGAACAGTGATAATGTGAACATCAGGTCTTTTTGTTTCAAACATTAAATGAATAAATGTTGTGTGTGTGACTGAAATCTTTACTATTTCAATCTTTGGTACTCCTTCGAACAGCGACCCTAGGAGGGGCGCAATCTATTGTAACTCTAAATTACTTTATCTACAGACCGTAGATGGGTGTAATCCATTCTTTGCGTAAGTTCACATAAAATGTGAAATATTTTTCATATTTAATACTCTCTGAGATTAGGCTTAGGGTTATGGTTAGAGTTAGGGCCGACCCTAAACCAAACCCTAAGCTGAAGCCATATACATAACATCGTTATTATGTGAAAGTACCCAAACAATGGACAATCTCCCCTATGGTTCCCATTAACAAACAGTAGTCTGCGTCCCCTCTAGCGTCGCCATTCAAAGGAGTGCCCAATATTTAAATTAACACATGACAGTGTGTACATAAAATCTTTACTGCTTCATTTTGGATAAAGATTACGACAGGAAACTGTTGCTGTCTCAAGCTTATAATAAAATATAAATGCTACTTTAAAAGTAAAATAATTAAAAAGTAGGTTTAACAAAAAATAAACAGAATTAAAATATTGTCTTTCGCTTTTCCAACCAACATAATAATACTATTCTAATTATCCCTAATATCATCCTAATACGAGATGCATTTTTTTTTTGCTTCTTCCAGGACCGGTCGCCACATTAGTTCACTATGTTCATACTAATTGCCACCTTAATGGTTCTTCATAAAGACACACTAAGATTGTTTCATTTGCTGGGAAAATGAATATGTATGAACCAAGTTTTGAAAAACTAGAATTAGCGAAACAAAGTACTTTCGTTTTAAAATTTCAGTGGTGTTTGGGTGGCGATCTTCCGAATAACGGTCCCAAATTATCGAGACAGAAAATATACCCTAACAGGGCCTCAGTCACATGACTGGGACTCACAGCAAATAAAATCAAGGCAGTCCCAGCCATCTAGTTTAGCCCCAATCCACTCCGGGTGGGGGATACTCTCGGCGGTGGCGGAAGCGCGCAATTAAGTCGCCGGAAGTGGGCAATTCACACGTGACTGAGGGCCTGTTAGAGTATATTTTCTGCTTCGATAATTTGGGACCGTTATTCGGAAGATAGCCGTTTGGGTCACTTTCTGATTTGTTTTTAATTAATTAGCTGTGATACCATTCAATTTTAGGTGATTTTTCCAGACCAAATGATAAGGGAAAAGGTCTTGAACTATTCATACTACTGTCGACAAATCTCAGCCAGATAGTGACAATAGTCTTGATATTATGATTGATAATGTGTGTGCCATACCAATTGGTGATAATATGGGTTAGGATGAAAATATTTAAATCAGATCATCTCTGTTTCAATCAGCGGTGTTAGGAATTCAATTGTAAAATCTAACATGTCATACAAAAATCCTCATAAAATCCTAAGTATTTAAATTAACTATTTCAAATAAAGACTAGCTGATGCATAATAAAACAGAGAAGGCATGTGAACTCTTAGAATGCACAGCATTGTTTTGAACAAGTAAAAAATAAGGTAAGCACAACATTTTATGTGTAACAAATCTTCATATGTGTTTAACATCCTTGAATGTTGTGGAATTTTAATAATTTTGTTTTTGTAGTACTGATAATTAAATATTTTAGATTTATTCTGCGCTCATTTCTCTTTAATTTGATACATTATATGTTCCTATATAGCCAATACTTTTTCTTCCAGAAGGTTTTACCTTTGTCATGTTGCAGTAAAAAAAAATTCAGCTTTACTTCTTCTTTGCGTTGTTTCATATGCTCAGATCAGACCATCAGGTGGGTTGCCTCTATGAACTCGCATGTCAGCAGCAGATCCTTCACGGTTCCCCATAGCTTGCTCTGCACACTTTGCTCCTGAGGCCAGGTTTCTTTTAGAACATGTAGGTAGAGTGGGCAGGTTTGCAGAATGTGTTCAGGTGTTTGTGATGCTGTCTGACAGGCACACTTTAGGGACTGTACAATCTTTATTTTATGCATGTGGTAGTTGAGCCTGCAGTGTCTTGTTGGTAGATGAAAAATTGTTGTATGCTGGTTTCTGTTGTCATATATGAGGTCTTGTAGATGTTAACTAGTTTGTTCTCTCCACAATTCCTTGTATTTTCCCTTGATGAGTGTTTTGATTTCTGGTAATGATAATGAATGGGTGTGTTCTTTCTCCTTTTATTCCATTTTTGGCAAGTCTGTCTGCTAACTTATTTCCTGGTATGCCACAGTGAGCCGGGATCCACTGGAGAACGATTAGATTGTTTTCTGAGAGTCTATTTAGCTGGCCGGTCAGTTCTCTCCCCTTGTTGTCTCCGTTGATCCCTCTGAGTCGCCGGGAGGACTGACTCACAGTCACAAAGGAAAACAATTTTGCTGTTTTTAATTTGTCTTTCCTCCAGCACTTCGGTTGCATCAATAATTGCTTGCTGCTCTGCTCTGAAGTTTGTTGAGAGTGTTCCTGAGGTGCATGACGTTTCTATTGTGGTCCCATCTTGCAGCACGATGACCAATCCAGTTCCTCAATTTGTTATGCGCCCTCCAATGATCCGTCAGTGTATATGTGTGTCAGTCAGTTTTGTTTTTGTTAAGTTGTTTGCACCTGTTCTTCCCTTCGATGGCTCAAGCTCTTGAGGCCAGAAGTTGCCTCCAGTTCATTGATTGGTGTGCTTCTCTTACCTGCAGTGATGATTCTGAAAGCAGTTTTCTATATTTTGTCTAGTTTGTATAGATTTGATTTGGCTGCAGTGGAGTATGCTCCCGTGCCACAGTCCAGTTTTGGTCATATGTTTCCTGTGTATACTTGTCGTAGAGTGTTGGCATCTGCACCCCAGCTTGTTCCAATATTTTTTTCATAAATCTGAGCCTCAGGATAGATTTCCTTTCAGTGTCTTCAATGTGGGGGCCCCAAATATATGGGGTTTTTCTCTTTTGAAAGGATGTTGCTTTCTAGGTACAGATAAACTTAATCTAACTTTGTGGAAAGAGAGAGGAGAGGCGAGACAGTGTTGGTCTGGTTTATTGTGACTTCCCAAGAGTCTGTCCATTTCTCAACTGTATTTATAGCTTCCTGCATTCTTGTTTTAGTTGTTCCTATATGTTCAGCTGTGGTCCATATGGCCAGGTCATCTGCATATAGGGCCTTCTGAATGTGAGCCGTGAACTGTTTTTGGGAGGTCACTGATGAAAAAAATAAAGAGGGTAGGAGATACACCTTCCTGGCAGACACCTTCCAGTCTGACTCTCACAGCATCTGTTAAGAAAGTCTCTATCCCACTGTGTGCAAGTTTTAGGGAGAGTCCTTTCTTCCAGTCCTTATCAGGTCGAAGCTAGTAGTTTGTATTTTTTCTGGAAAGCGTCTTCAATTTCCTGTGCGAGATAAGAGGTTTAGTCATCAGTGATTCGTATTTCCTGAAGCCTGATTGGCTGTCATCCAATATCTTGTTTTCTTCCAGGAAATTAAGTGACATGTTGTTTACTAATCTTTCCATGGCAGCTTAGGAGGTTTATGGGCAGTAACTGAATTGTTTCCTTGGGTTTTCCTTTTTTGGCTATGGGGACTATTTCTGCCTCCTTCCATTCCTTTTGAAGTAGTCCCTGGGTCAAGGACTGATTCATAAGGTCTAAGAGTCGTTGGCTACTAGCTGGTCCTAAGTGTACTATCATTTCATTTGTTACACGATCA